CAAAATTAATGTTTATTCATTTTTGAAAGGTGAGGGGTGGGAGTGCACCAGAGGGGGAGGGGCAGAGAGAGAGGGAGACACAGAATCTGAAGCAGGCTCCAGGCTCTGAGATGTGAGGCTCAAACTCACAAGCCGTGATGTCATGACCTGAGCCAAAGTCAGATGCTTCACTGACTGAGCCACTCAGGCACCCCATGGAAGTCTGAATTTTAAAGGCTGATAATGAATTCCCCATAAAGGTCAACATTATGTGGGTCAAGCAAAACATGTCTTTGCCAATAAACATGCAGCCTCTGCTTTGGACTTTACTAGAAGTCCAACCCAGGGTTTCTCAAGAAAGATTCAGAAACCAATTACAACAAATTCCCCAGCAACAAAATTTAAGTGTGATGTGCCTGCTGGGCCCCAGTTCAGGCCTACTGAATTAGAAACTCTATGGATCTACCTAGGAATCAGGATTCTTAACAAGGTATTTTGTGTTTGAGGACCAAGGACATTGCATACTTTTTAACAGCTAAATAACTAGAATTGAACTCCAAAACATGAAAGTTTCATACTTTGTTAAAACCATTCCCTTATTTATACCACATCTTCTTTATCCATTCATCAATTAATTGATGGACATTTGGGCTGCTTCCATATTTTGGCTACAGTAAATAATGCTGATGTGAACACAGCTGCTGCATGCATCGCTTTGAATTTATGTTCTTGTATTCTTTGGGTAAATACCTAGTAATGCCACTGCTGGATTATAAGGTAGTTTGATTTTTAACTTTTTGAGAAAACTCCATACTGTTTTCTACAGTGGCTGTACCAGTTTTTATTCCCACCAACAGTGCAAGAGGGCCTTCTTTTTCTCCAAATTTTCCCTAACACTCATTGTTTCTTGTGTTTTGGATTTTAGCCATTCTGACAGGAATTATATGACATGGCACTGTGGTTTTAATTTGCATTTCCAGGATGATGAGTGATGTTGAGCATCTTTTCATGTGTTGGTTGGCCATCTGGATGTCTTCTTTGGAGTAATGTCTGTTTATGTCCTCTCCCCATTTTTAATTGGATTATTTGTTTTTCAGGTGTTGAGTTTTAGAGGTTCTTTATATATTTTGCATACTAATCCTTTATTGGATATGCCATTCGCAATATCTTCTCCCATTCCATAGGTTGCTTTTCAGTTTTGTTGATTGTTTCCTTCACTGTGGAAAATTTTTTTATACAATGGAATGCTATTTTGCCATAAAAAAGAATGAAATCTTGCCTTTTGAAATGACATGGATGGATGGAGCTAGAGAGTATAATTCTAAGTGAAATAAATCAGAGAAGGGCAAACACCATATGATTTCACTCCTGTGGAATTTAAGAAACAAAACAAGCAAAAAAAAAAAATACATAAGAGATAGAGGGAGAGAGAAAAGTCAAGTCACAAGACTTTTTTTTTTTTTAAGTTCACTTATTTTTGAGAGACAGAGAGGCAGAGCAGGAGCAGGAGAGGGGCAGAGAGAAAGGGAGACACAGAATCCAAAGGAGGCTCCAGGCTATGAGCTGTCAGCACAGAGGCCGATGCAGGGCTCAAACTCACAAAATGCAAGATTATGACCTGAGCAGAAGTGGGACGCTTAACTGACTGAGCCACCTAGGCGATCCAATTAATCGACTTTTAATTATAGAGAACAAACTGTTACTGGAGGGGAGGGTCAGGGGAGATGAGTTAAATAGGTGATAGGAGTTCAAGACTACACTTGTGAGAAGTACAGGGTGATTTATGGAATTGTTGAATTACTATATCGTATACCTGAAACTAATGTAATACTCTTTGTTAACTAATGGGAATGAAAATAGAAACTTAAAAAACAAAACCCAAAACCATTCCCTTATTGATGGGTATTGAAATTGCTTCTAAATTTTCACCTCTATAAATAACACTTCAATAAATGTGTTTATATACATTGCTTCTATTTTTATAGGATTGATCCGAAATTAGAGTATGGGGTCTAATTTTAGGACACAATAGATACTGTCTGTTTTAGGAGCTAGTAGGTATTGTAAACTTACTTTACAAATGTTGCAGAGAGGTGCCTGGGTGGTTCAGTTGGTTAGGCATCCAACTTGAACTCAAGTTGTAATCTCATGGTTCATGAGTTCCAGCCCTGCATCGGGCTTTCTGCTGCCTGTACAGAGCTTACTTTGGATCCAGATCCTGTCTCCCTCTCTATATGCCCCTCTCCCATGCTCTGTCTTTCTCTCTTTATCTAAAACAGATAAGAAAGCCATATTCTGACCAGCAATAGAGTGTACTTATCCCAACCCTTACATCCCTGGGTATTAAAACATTTTTAATGCCATTCATTTTTGAAAATGTATGTAATGTTCTGACTTATAGGGCAGTTAAGAGTTTTTCATAATTTAAAAAAAAAAAAAGAATTTTTTCTAATTTGTCTTTTTTCTTTCCTTTCCTTCTTTTGTTTTCGCTTTCCTTCTTCCTTTCTTTTCCTCCCTCCTTCCCTTTCCTCCCCCTCTCCACTCTTCCCTTCCCTTCCATTTCCTTCTTTCTTTCAGAAAGAGAGAGGGAGAGAGAGAGAGTCTTAAGCAGTCTCCATGCCCAGCTGACTTCGGCCTTGGGCTTGATACTATGACTAACTTTGAGATCATAACCTGAGCTGAAATCAAGAGTTGAAGGCTCAAAAGACTGAGGCACCCAGGTGCCCCTAGAACTTCTTAGTCATGTGTTTGCATTTCCTCTTCTTGGAGTGTTTGCAGATACCCCCAAGCTGACAATGGCAGGGTTGAGAGTGGGAGCCAACACATTGTACACAGTGTCTATTTCTTCCATACCCTTACCTTCTAGGCTCCACCCTCCCATCCAATCCCTGTTTTCTTCTCACAGGAAGCCCACTAAGGCATTCATTATCTTGTACCATTCTGGCAGGTCTCTAAGTTTTCCCTTGGAATTATATTCATTTGTTTATTTCCTTCGAACATTTGCCTACTTAATAGTCTATTTTTTCCTTATCAATTTGATGTAGCTCTGTGAAAACTAGGCCATTAACAATTTGCTTTATACAATATTTTTAAGGAATGAATTATGAAAGCCACTATTTTAATTAATGCAATTCGAGCAAATTTAATTCTAATCATATTAATCATTTAAAACAACTAGTATCATTTTTCTTTTTTGCTGCTTTTAGAAACTCACTGTATTTAACATCGTGCATTTTCAGTATAATGATAAGTTAACTGTAGAAAAGCCACTAATGAGTATGATTTTACACTATTAACGCAAAGCAAAGGAACTATAAAGATTTAAGTAGCTTATATGAAAGTTAAAAACTTTCCAAACTTAGAAATGGATTTTTTTTGAGGGGGTGGGGGGGTGTCTTTTTCTCAAGAGCTCCTATTTCAAGATCCAAATGGGATTTCAAAATACAAGTAAATAAATGTCAAAGCCTCTTGGCCTCTGCTCTGCCATTCTTTGCCTGAAATCCTGCCAAAATGAAATTTTCCATTCAAGGATTGGCATCTTCTAAGCTGATTTTTTTGTAAAGACTCACTTTCAGAAGTAGTGGAAATTCTGTGCAACTTTTGACGTTCCTCTCTGTGGATAGAACAGCTGCCTCTGTAGACATTTTCCACAATGGTAACTTTTTCTGAAAAACATATTTTTAGTCCTTCCAATGTCTTCAGCAACTAGGTCTATTGATTTTTCCTAGTGCCAAGCATAGAAGATAAAGAGCACCCAAACTAAAAGGTAGCGTTTCACTAGGTATGGCAGCACAAAGTGGAAAGAAAGAGAAAAGGACAAAGGAGAAGGTGGGCGAAAGGAGCATGGTCTAAAAGTTCACTTGCTAGAGGGTCAAATGAGATCAATCTCAGAAAAATTGTGCTGTCTCAACAAAACGGAGCCGTAGCGAGAATGGCTGTCTCCTTATTCACATAATATCACTTTCAGTTACTGTTAAGATCAAATAGTTAAAAGCTGCGTGTGTTTATAGAATCCAAAGGGGGATATATGGAGCCCCCCTCAGTACGAAGTAAAGTTTTAGGATTAGGGCGCCACTTCTGTTTGCCAGTCCAGTGGTGGTGGGAATAAAGGGAAGTGCCTTTGGGAGCCTGTTAAAGAGTGAGGACTTGGGAAATGGAAACTAAAACTGTCAGCGAGCAAAATCCTGCAATATTCCTGAATGAAACTTTAAAATGTTAAAAAGAAACTATGCGATAAATTTAAGGTAAAAATGAAAATGACAGCAAGTTAGGTGAGAAAACTGAAATCCATCTGTAATCGAACTGCTCGCACTTCTAAAAGCAATGCCTTGAAGCAGCAAGCAAGTTACTAAGTCTGTCCTAGGCTTTCTCCCCAACGAACTTAATTCTCAAAAAGCCTTTCACTGCTTTTCTCATAGGGACTGCACGCTGAGATGATCTCTCTGCGAGCCTTCCTTTAATTTCCGATTTCTTTCTTTTCCTCTTGTTGTCAGACCTAAGGCTCCTTTTCCTCATACAGTATTTGTTCAGGGACGAATCACAGAGGAGGTAGCGAGGCAGAAAAAAGTTTTGCGGTTTAGGAAACTTAGGCCTTTGTTGTGTCATTTCCCTTGCCCCTCCACGCCCCCAACCACGTGACCAGGAAAGGCCGGAATTTTGTGAATGGAGCCGAAAGGTGGCTGCCGGGGCGGGAGAAGCTCCGCCCCTTCCCTGAAGCGGCCAATCTCCTAGCGGAGCGCTGCGGGGTCAGCAATAAACAACAATGGGCTGGGAACAGGCGAGACGTTATTGGCTGCGGCGAGAACCTCGCGGGGGCCTACCCCGAGGCCCCGCCCCTTCCCGGTTACCCTGGATACCGTCCGGCTCTGGCCGCTGAGGTCTTTGGAAACTGTTGCTCACATTACAGAGGCTGGGTTATCCCGGGAATGCTGGGCGGCGGGACACCCTTGCTATTGGCTCCCTGCCTGATTGCACCCTCAGATTGCACTCCAGAGCCTCTCTCCGGCTTGGAGAACCCGACTGTGCCCGGAACCCCTCTCTGGCCGCGGTGAACGTGGAGTTCCCGCTCAAAATGCTTGTAGGTGCGCGCGTTTGCAACCGCTACTCTGATTTACTAGTTTCAGGGAATGCACCGTGGGTGTCCTTGCTGTCTACAGTGAATGGGTGTTTCCCCAGTAACACTTTTTCTGTTGTTTATTTAAAAAAAATTTTTTTTGACGTAGGTATTTACCCTCCTATTTCCTCCCATGAGTCCAGAAATGAATCTTTTGTGCTCATACTCTCATTTTAACGCTTCTCCATAACGTTCCATTTAAGGGACGAAACTTTCTAGAAATTGAGAGCTGCAGCACGTTTCCCTACGGGCGGAACAGCTGCCGGAAACGTCCTTCGGTCTGGTCGCCATCAGTATCACAAGTGAATTTCAACACAGTGCACCAAGTCCCTGGTCCCGTCCCCACGGCCTCCCATCCACGGTTGGGCCGAGCCTGCTTTCTAAGCGACTTTTTACATCTCCAAGCCCCCATAGGCGCGGCAGAGCGAGTGGTTTGGGTCGCAGCCCTCACTTGTTAACGTCCCGATCATTGTCCTTGAAACCCGAGCCCCATCACCGCTCGCCCCCAACTCCTGGCTTGGGCTGTTTAGAAGCTGGAGAGGAAGTGAAAGCGTCAAGTACAGTAAGTGACACCCTCCGCCTCCCTGTATACATAACAAAAGCTCAGGAAACGTTCGAGTCCCTAGGATATCCGAGCCACCCCGTTCCCTCCCCGCTCCTCCCCACCTCCCTAGTGGACTGGAAGTACCTTGTCCCAGTGCACTCGTGGGACACATTTGTTTTTTATACTTTTCTTCACCTAGCTTGCTCTGTGGTCCTAATTCTCCTTCCCAGTAGACCCCCTCCTGACAGGCAGTTCCTCGGCTGCCAGGTGCTTTGACTCATAGATTCTTTATTTTACTGTCTCATGAACGATACTATCTTGTTTTACTTGAGGGATGGCTGCTAAAGAGAAATGTTTTTGATAAATCATTATGGTGGTGCTGGATGTTGAAACACGGGAAAGGAATTTGGGCCAAAAGCTTAGTGGGAACGAAGCTACAGAGCGAGGTGGGCTCCTTATCAGGTTAAAAGTACGGGGGGCTGGAGATCTAGAGGAAGGTGGTTCGTAGGAATAAGGAGGCAAGGGGTTGGTGGATCGCACTTCAGAGTCTATACCCGAACCGAACAAAAGTGCTCTAGGGAATCAGCCCTGTAGTGGACCAGACACACCAGTAAGGAGAACTAGCGACACATGGCTTCAGTGTCCCGGGCGCCTTAACAATAAGCAGCGGGTTAGAAAGGCAGCTGATTTCCTCCTGGGCGTTTGCAGGCTGTGGACCCAGCGCCAGCCCGCAGCACATCCGTGTAGGCAGAGGGGCGCGAGGGATCCAGGAGAAGGGGCAGCGAGCCGCCTGATTGACAGCTCGAAATCTGATCTTGTGAAAGAGACGCGGAGCCAATGGGAGGCAGCGATCCATCAGTTTGGATTGGAGGCCCCTGGAGGAGAAGTAGAGGAAAAACCACCGAATTGAGCTCTGTCAGAGGCGCTTTCGGCTTCCAAGGGGGAAGTGCTGGGCAATAATTAATGTTTTTATTAAATTTGGAGGGAATTTTTGCAGCCGTTCGCCTAGCGTGGCCTTCAGGTGGGTCTTTCCAACAACTTTTTATGTCTCTCCAGATAATTGCATGGTTGTGGGTTGCAAAAACTATCCTTATGAAAGAGGTGTCTCCGTCTCTTTAGTCCCGTTAGGTGCAAAGCAAGTCTCGTTGATCGCCATTGCTAGTTTTGCACACGTTTGCGAATCAGAGCTGCCCGGGGTACACCGACCGCGCAGGGAAACATCGAGAGTGTAAATAAATACATCGCCTCTTGTTCGGATTTTTGCTACTGCCGAAAATATGTAAATTGTGAACTCTCTTGGCTCTCTTTGGATCCAGGTGAAGGAGGCTGTGTAGGGAGGGTTATTTTTGTGAATGGGACTCTCGGAGGGTAATTAGCTATGCAAATTCAAGAGCTTCATTCATGATTTTTTTTTTTTTTTTTTTTTTTTTTTTTGCCTAAAAGCCATCTTGTTCCCCTCTAGGTTGATAGAAGTCCAGATCCCGAGGAAATCTCCAGCTAAATGCTCAAAATATAAAACACTGAGCTGAGCTTTGCGAAGAGCAGCAGAATGGATGGATTTTATGACCAGCAAGTGCCTTACATGGTCACCAATGTGAGTGATCAGTTCGAAAGTTGCTGTTTATAAACTTGACTCCAACGGAGGGGAGGGGGGGGAGGAGAGAGAGAATGAGAAGGGAGGGGGTAAGGGGGTTGGGATTGCAGATACTTTATCTGCTTTGTTGCCACTGTAGGGCGACTCTGCTTCTAGAAGCCCAGTCTTCAAAATGAGCTTACCTTTCAGTGATTTGGATAAGGCATAGTTTTGTTTTTAAGACCCCCCCCCTTTTTTTTCTGTTTAAAGTGCCCAAGATGAGTGGAAGAGGAGACGGAGGGCAGCAGCAGCTGCACTCAAAGTTTTTGGCTGGGTTTGTCTGCCACATTGAAAAGAATGAAGTTGAGACTAATGCTGACACTTTTTGTTTACATGGGGTGTTTTTCTTTCTTTTTTTTTTCTCGTCTCATTTTTTTCCTCATATTTTTCATTTCACCACTCTGTGTTTTTTGTTTTGGGGGGTATCAGAGAGAATAAAACTCATTGTATTATAGTCTAGCTTTGATCTAGCTGAAAACGACTTTAAGTGTGACCGCTTAATGTTGTTTTGATGCCGAGATGCCATGAACACAGGACTGATAAGTCGTAGTGTGTTCCGCTTCGCTGGGAACAACTCTCCCTGGTTGTTGAATTCTCAGCTTTCACTGTCAGATGAATGCAGAAAATGAAGATTAGATTGAATTCTATGGACTTTTATTTTTCTATGTAGAGGACCTAGTAGACTTACGTATGCATGTGTTTTTGTGTGTGTGACATCTGAGGTTTACATATTTTTTTAAAGAATTTTTTTCTTTCCCTTTGTAGAATCAGCGTGGGAGAAATTGTAACGAGAAACCAACAAATGTCAGGAAAAGAAAATTCATTAACAGAGATCTGGCTCATGATTCAGAAGGTGAGGTTTGATTTTGAGCTGAATCCCCCCCTTACCTATACTCGCCACCCTCATAAAGAAGGGGAACCCTTCAGTCTTAGCTTAAAAATAATACTCTTTCAAATTACCGCATTTAACTGAGACCTTTACTTGGAGCAATTACCATAATGTGACAGTTTGCATTGGAGGGCATTTTATGGCCCTGTCACAAACTAATGAAAGAAGGAAATGAAAACTTAACAGTGGCATCCTTCTTTTAATCATTCTTTTGTGTTTAAATACTTATCCATATGGTATATAACTAATCCCATACACTAAGGTAACAATTTTAAAATATCCAACACAGTGGGACAGAAGCAGCAATGTATACTACTTAATTTCTCCTTTTTACTTTATTAGAAGTAAAACATATAAATGATTGTTTGAGGTCCTATTCCCCTTACACTGAAACCATATACCATTATAAAACTTTTCATGGATGATTTCGATGACTACGTGGTGAGGTCTTAGTATCCTGTTTATAGGCCTTCAAGAATTCATCAAATCATAATTAAGGCCTAATTAATAATTATAGTAACTATTTGAAAAATTAGATTATAGATTTTTTTTTTTTTAAATGCACTATTGGTTAGAAGGTCAATATATTATAAACTATTCCGGCCATATGGGAGCATTCATAATGAACTTAATCTACTTAGATTTAATTACCAAAGTTCGGTTTGCCATTTTGATTAGGTATATTGAATTCTGAAACTTAACTCAAATCTTCATCCATATTGGACACCCTTCTCCCTCCCACTCTGACAGAATACACAGTTTTGGACTTGATAATAAACAGGTGCCAGGGAATTACCTCACTGACTTTGTAGAACCTATTGATGTAGACATTTTCCTCTAAAATATTGTATTTAAAAGTTGTCCCTTTTAGTTTTGAGGCACTGAACCTCAAAACATACAGTGCTTTAAAAATTATGCCATGTTCTGTTAAATCTTTTATATAAGATCCAGGAGAGAGAAAAAAAATGATTTGCAGCCTTTCTAATCTTTCCCCTTCAAGAGTTGACTCTATTTAAGAAAGGTTTACGTGGATAGACACGCCTTCACCTCAGCCTTTTTGTGAATCCTAGTGTATGTGTGTTTGGTGTCCCTGATCGTATTTATTAAGTTTTAGGTTCAAAGGAGGGAAATCCTGCCTTTATTATTTCTTTCACTAAAAGAATTTTTTAAAGAAGCATTGCTTACTAGCAATTACAATGGCAGGGTTATTGAGCTATTTAAGTCATGATTCCTATTTTCTTTTTATATTGACTCCCCTCCCTAAATTAAATTGATATTTAATACCAATTACATGACAAACATTTCTATTTAATGGAGCCTAAAGGTTTTCAAATTTTTTGTTTATGTCTTTGACTTGTTTTTTAGAACTCTTTCAAGATCTAAGTCAATTACAGGAAACATGGCTTGCAGAAGGTAAGGCAAAAAAATTGCTTTAAAAGGAGGGCAAAAGCAACTCTAGAAGGGGGAAAAAAAGTCCTGAACTTGCTGTCTTAATGTTCAACCCAATTAATTGAGCTCTAAAAGAGCCACCTCATGTGTCATGCATACATTAGAGTCTCTGATGAGTTTGTCTTTGGGGACTCTGGGGCTGCACTACCCAGTGTCATCACAAATTACCAGGAGAAATTGCTTCCAGCTCACAATCACATCTGCTTTTGGCAAGAACTAATGCACCAAGACTTCAAGTTCTAAGCCTCTGTTCAGATTTTAATTGCAATTGATCAGGTTTATATTATTGTACCTCGAGAGACCTCCTAGAGCCAGAACCCGGCTTGCTGTTTCTTTTAGAGCAGCGCATATCATTATTTGGTGTTCTGGTGGAGGACTTTTCTGATGGCAGAAATTAGTTTCTCTGGGTTCATCAGGACGGGATGCTTCAAGATTTAAGTGCAAGTGTCTTCTTTCCACCTTGTTCACAACACAGAACGTTAGGTGTGTATGCAATACTTAGGAAATCTATGGCTTTAAAAGAAATCTTTGGGGGATTTAAGGATTGAAAAAATGTTTTCTATTTGTTACTATGATGTGATAGTTGTTGAAACTGGTTTTTGCTTTTATGTCACTTTCATTAGGATTCATTTAAGACAGCAAGGTGACATCTAAAGGCAGTACTTTTATTTTTAGTTACTTTCTAGTAAAATTTTGTGCTGCAACCTATTGTATCTTTTATTGGGTACAACTTTATTTTACAGGAACAATGAGATAATGCTTCAATAAGGTTTAATACAACTTGAGAAATGCCTAATGTTGAGGGACTTTTGTTAGTGTCCATAATTTAAAATTTTTCTTTTGGATTTGTCATCATAATAAATGTGAAATATTAATTTTATCCTATGATATGTTTTATGGGGAACAAAAAGAAAATTATACATATTTAAGCACTGAGTTTAATTTGTATTTCTGTCTGTTATATGGATATGCAGTTTTCAGAACAGATTTTTAAGATTGTTGGAAGATGAGAGAGGGTCTCTTTAAATGGAACTCAAGTGTTGCTCTTGCTACTTTGAGGCTGGCTGCAGTGTTTTACCGGGGTCTTGCTTGCTGTTCATCAAGTTGCTGTTAGCATGTAAAATAAGTTTCTTTGTTTTGCTGATATTCTTGTTCTCTTAAAAGCTTTTGCAATCTTTATAAATCTTTTAAGTTAAATAGCTTTCCTAGTAGCCCTTTGAAAGGGTGATTGAATTTGCATGTTCATAAAAGGTGAGTATTAATTAAAGTTTTAGTTACATTTAAAGGTCATTTTGCTTGTCTCTGTAAATGAAACTTATTGCAATAGATTACTTAGTATTGCAACATGAACCATGCATTAAAACTTAACTTTTTCCGAAAAATTTGCACAGAGGTCCTTGTATTAACCTTGATCTGTTAGTTTTGCAAAGTTCAAGGTTGTGAGAACATTACGTTTAGGAGGACATTTGTTTCCTTGTCTAAAATAATTGGAAATATCTAGTTTAATTGTTCTCGAAGGTTTGTTGGTTCTTAGATGTTTAAGTCTCATTGATTCCAAGGCGGTACACTTGCTGGCAGATTTTGAATGTGCATAGCAACTCTCTTTCTAGAATTTTAAAATATGGATTCTGTGACAGACTCTTGCCATTTTATAATCAGTTTTACTACAATCTCTTACTTTTGTTTTGTTTATTTGTTGCTCGGGTAAGTGATTTGAATAACTTATCCAAGTTAATCTTTTTTAAAACACTGCACTGCATATATTCTTACCCATGATTATTAACGTACCTATAAATCAGATCTGAAAGATTTAGCTTTATGTAAAACAAACCTGGAAAATGATGTATTTGGAGGAACATGGACTTGTACTTAGAAAATAATTCATAAGCTTAAATAAGTTAAGGAATTAATCCTCAGGGTGTTTTAGTGAATACCCAGGTGAGCGACTGTTTACAAACTATGGATATGATTGCATTTTAGAATAATGCAAACAGTTTTCAAAATAGTTTACCTTAATTTATTCTATCATGATAGAAACAGTGCTGTTAATATGAATTTTTAAATCTTACTAATGGAGACTTCTTTTTTTACTACTTGTTAATAGACTGCACATTTATTTGTATTTTTAGCAATTCTGTTTAATAATAATATTTGCTTTAACATTTTAACTTGACTTATCCCACATCTTGAACTAAGAAGAGATCTTAAAATTACAGTCGGTTATTTGTAGCTAGATTTGTCTATTTATGTCCCTCTGGACATCCACAAATTAAAACATTACCAAATTGGCAGACTTTGAAATGTTTCTATATTTCTTTTCATAATGCTTGGTAGCCAAAAACGTGACCAAGGGATTTTAAGGCATCTTGACCCTTTTAAAAAAGATCATGGGCAGTTAACCAAGTTCCTCTCAAGAGTTAGAAACCCACTGGGAAGTTAAACAGGTCTAAAAATCTTATTAGATATAAGAGTCAAGTAGTGTTGTATGAAAATCATGTTTTTAAAAAGTTATCAAAGCCCTTAAATACTTGGGAAATGATAGATCCTAGAGTGTTTAATTTGTTTTTTTTTTCCTGTAAGAATTTTTATAAATTAGATTCAAAGTGCAACATGGGGATTAGTCATAGGTAAAATATTATGGATTATGAAATGTGTTTTATGTCTAAGGACAAATTGGGATAGATAAGGGAGGACTATTTGAGGGTGAAGGTTGGAGCCAGTATTTTCAATTTACTAAAGTCCTCTAATTTAGGGGAAAGAATGGGAATATATTTTAAATTTTAGGCAGGGATCAAAAATATGTGAAGAATATAACTTTATATTAGAATCACTTTTAAGTACTAACACTGCAATTTAAATGCTGTTAACAGGTATACCACAATTTAATATATTCACATTTCATTCTGAAGAAAATTGGAAAGATATTTTCAGTGACCAGAGTAGCACTTCAAAAAATAATGTGTCAATGTTAAGTTTTGCCATGGTTGCTTTATATTATAATTTTACTATGTACAATTCTTTATTGATTCTTTGTCTTTTGAATTAGATTGCTACTGACAGAAAGGCAATTTCAGTTATTTGATCTCATGGAATAATGAGTTCATATATCAATCCTATCAACATCATGGTAACGTCTTACTCTGAACAACCTGTTTTAAGTGGTGCTTTAGTGATAGTGTCCTAGAAATTCACAGTTAAAATGGCCCCGTTTGTGTGTTAGGAAGATAAATAGAGGGATATAAAATTGAGTTTAAAAAGGATTGCATTCTTCCAAAGTTGCTTACTAGAGCTTACCTACTATAACATAACTTAAAGGGAAACCATAAATTTCCTATGTTTCTACATAAATTTCCTACGTATCTACATAAATTTCCTATGTAAATACATAGCAACTTTTGAACTTCGTTTTTGGTATGGGTCTAGCCATTCTAGAGGTTCCCTTTCATCAGTAATATTAAGGACAAAAGTCAACAGTGATTCGCTAACACAGGGTAGATGTTTTTCAATGGTGTTACAGTAAGTCAAGTTTTCTGGTGCCCCCACACTTAAATCTAAGTTTTCTCTTCAAGAACAGGCTTTCTATACCAAAGGTTATTGCTTCCTGCAGATAAGGCTTTTTTTTTTTCCTCTTGTCTTGTGTGACCTTCAAATAATACGTTGACTTAACAGTAGAGATGTCTGCCTTTACTTCAGTGGCTGATACTAAATGTACATTCAAAATAGTTTCACATGAAGCCCCTTTAAATAATAGATGCTGTTGTTACTCGCTATACATAATGCCATCTACAATGTACAGTGGTCCTAATATACTCATTTTTATTTTTCAAAAATTATAACTGTTTCTTGTTGAAACGGAACATAAATTGGATATGTGCACATTAATGTATTGCTTTTTCTTTTAAATGTGATCCAGTAAAAACTAAAGATTTTAAAAACTACATTATGTTGTGTGGTTTTTGTAAAAAAGGAAATGAGAATAAAGCATTAAATTACAGAAGTCCATCCTATTTCTTAATATTGAGCAAGAATCGTTTCTTGTGCAGGGGGAGGGAGTGCTACCCCTCTTTTTGTTGTACCAGGATATACTCTAAAACATGAGAGCAAGGCTTCTCTTTTGGACTTGATTAAAAGATAGCAGGTAGAGTAAATACTATATTTCTAAATGTTTATTGGAATTCTCTAAGTGCCTTTTTATCTAGGGTCTACTTGCAATGCTCCCCCCCCCCTAAAAAAAACCCCCAAAAACCCAAACTTTGTTTAGATAGAACTTGGATTTGGTCTAGTTTAGATACAGTTTTTCCAGAAGGTCCTAATAAGTGTTAATGAAATACTGCTTTTCTGGTTCAGTTACAAGAAATGTGTCATTTTTTGAATTTCACAATATAACTATTCCCTTTGACCTGTGTACAAGCTGGTAATTAAAATGGTAATAATAATAAAGTCAGAGCTCCGTAGTATTAGAGAAAATAGAAGACGGCTCTTAAGACTTGCTCAAGTTTTTACGTCACTGTAGGTCAGTTTAGTGTTAGGAATTCAAGCTGCTTTGAGACTAAAGACAACTAAAACTTATGGTTTGCTTTCTTTTAGAGCATCAAGTATTAAAGATGTCTTTGTCATGCAGAAACAGCTCTCTCTCTTTTTTTGTCTCTTTAAATATGTTTATACTACCGTATTAATTAATGCTTATACATTGGTACAATCTTTTTAGTTTTAAAAGCGGATGTGGTGTAAAACCAGGCTTAGTGGCTTCATGATTATTTTGTTCCGTGGCCTGAAGCTTCATTTTAGGATTACACAGAATACCACTGTGCAAAGGTTGATTTTCTTGTTTTACCTTTATTTAAAATAAAATTTAAGTTTATTCAGAGCAACTCATTTCTAATTCTTTGATTCAAAGTGAAATGCTACAAAGTTCAGCAATAATCTATTCTAATTTCAGGATAAAGAAAATTTGAATAATAGGCAAGAAAAACAAGGCATTTCTTTAATGATTTTTTTCCATCCTTTCTTCCTCTGTCCCTGTCTCCACTCTCTTAGTTCCTTCCCTCCTTTCTTTCATCCTTCCCTTTCTCCTTTTTTCCTAGCTTTAGACATTTAGATTTTTGTGACAAGTTACCCAATAAAGCGGGATGCATTAAATCAGTCTGTCTGTCTGTCTATCTATCATCTATCTGTCTGTAGATCTCTAGATCTCTAGATAGATTTAATTTTGTAAACTTGTCATTTACTTAAATGTATACCTTAATGAATCCGAGCCGTATTTGAGATAGAGCAATAAGATGGATGTGTTTATTGCAAGTTCAAGTTGACTCGCTTTAGCTCTCTGGAAGGGTGTGACATGAAAAGATTGCGGTTGGGCCACATGGCTCATGCTGGACTAGGTTTTTGTGAATGGAGGCAGAACTCCAGTTTTGCCTGCTTGTCTGGAGGAATTGCTGAGGAGATCAGCTGTCTCATTCACAGGCAGAAAGAATGACTCATACATCTTCCGCCTTGTTTGGCTCCAGGTCATTGTTACAGTGGATAGAACTGGTTTTAATTAAATATTAACCCCTTTTATACTTGACATTTGTTCCATTTGTAATTTTCCCACTTTTTTCCCTAGCTTTAAAAGAAAACCTCACGGACACCTAGTGTGTAAGAAACAGGTTGCCTGCAGCCAACCTTGGAAAATATTTAAACCCTCCCCTTTTCTTAAGTAATTATTATTTCATCTGAAAGTTCAAAATAAGCATGCAGTAAAGGGACTCTATTTAAAAACTGCCCCTGTCTCCAGAAGTGTTGGTTAAGAAAGCATGTTGAAACTAAATATGAGGGTTTGTGATTCTGTGACATCTAGATCATGATTAATACTTTTGTGAGTTTGTTTCTCATACTCTCTATTGCTACGCAGTAAACGGAGAGAGAGAGAGAAACAACAACTTTGGATAATAATCTAGGTGAAGCAAATAGCTGAGAGTGCAGATTCTACCCTGTTAAAGCTCAAGTCCTGAGACTTGATGGCAACTTGTCTATTAATGTGCAATGAATTGATAGAGCCGCTCCAGCTTTTACCAATAAAATCCACATGCTTAATCTTCTTGAAAGCCTTTTATTGGTCTTTTGGTATATACTTTTCCCCCTTGTCTTTTCTTACTCTTCCCCTTCCTCTTTAATTACACGGTGTGGGGAAACATTTTCATTCCCCAAAGGTGATTATTCCAAGCATAGTTTATAATAGATAGCAGTGAAAATAGTATTGTTTAAAAAGTTGGCCTTTATTGTTAATTTTCCACTTTGGAGTTGGTATGGCTTGCCACAAATTTTCAGGCAGCTGTAGTTTGCTACTTCACAGTATTCCTGTGAATTGAGGAAAAAAGGAAACGCATGATACGAGTGTGGCAATACTTTGTCATATTTTCCTTGCCCAGATCCAACGTGTGTTTTTCGTTAACTGCTTTCCTTTTACTCGAACTTGAAATTAGAAGTATACTTAAGCCTTTGTCTATTTAAGTAGCATGCTGCTTCATTTGGTCTATTCAGTTTCTTAAGATTAGCTTCTGTGAAAATGTGAGTCATATGTTTTTTGTTAAAATTCTGTAATATGTTCAGGCATAAGTGTGAAGTATTTATGCAGTATGTTAGAGAGAACAGAAATAGCAGTTCTTAAAGCAATTCTTATTCTTCTTACAAATTGTTATGCACCTATTTTCTATGTATTTGTGAAGTATAACTTCCAGCTTGTTCTAAAATTTTGCTTTTTTTCCTCTCCAACATATTACAACACGTACCACGTATCCATCAGCGATTTTTATGTCCCTCTTGCCGTGATATATATCACAGAGTTACAATTTTGTCTTATGATAGGAAAAAATAATGTCTAGACTTTAGGACACTCATACCAGCATATTCAGTTACAAATATGTTTTTGTTACTCACCAGCCATTTTTAACTATTCCTGTAAAGGGATATTACATTTTTATTAAATTCTTGTAAATCTTGGCTTTTAAAAAGCATAGTAATTGCTGTGACTGATAATTTTGCATCTCAATAGTTATGTCTGTTTAGCTGTTAATTTAGAAGGAAAACCAAAACATGTGGCTGTGATGGAAAAACGTGTAGGATTTGGTTCTGTCTACATGCTGTTATTTATTAAATAGATATTGAAAACATTTTTGTATTTTTTTTTTTTGGTGTGAAGGCTCCACTTATACTGCTCTCTGAGAAAAATGTAGCTTATTGTAATGTCAAAAATGTTTACAGTTAGAGAATACTAATGTACCAGTTGTAGCTGTTTTTTTTTTTTTTTAATCCCTTTCCAGTATAATTCATGAGAGGTGAAGTTGTGTAACATGCATTGTAATGTTGGGAGGGAGGAGTTGTGTGTGTGTGTGTGTGTGTGAATTCAAAGAAGTGGGTGGGAGGTGAAAGTTTGGCAAAAGTAAATCACATGTAGAATTCCGTGTAATTGTGACAGAAAACCTGTGTTATCACTTTTACACTGAGAAAAAAAGTACAGTTCAGATGGGTTAAATAATGTACGTAGTTTGCATAGACTGGAAGTTATAAAACTATGATTTGAAGTTCGCGTGACTTTAGTTACCCATGGTAGCAAACATTACTGGAATATGAAGGGGAAAAAACATCTCTTCTATTATAGGTTGATCAGTTATAACTTGGAGAAAAGTTCTTCATTTTTGGTGACAGAGGATAGAATTAGTCTTTAATAAGCTGATACATTGGTTAACAGAGAATGTTGGGAAATAATGTTACATTGTATATATTTTAATACTTGGCAAGATTATCAGTGGTTCTGCTTTTGATAACATGATATAAATTTTATTGAGCTGGATATTTCCTTTTTTAAAATGTGGTTAAATAAGCCAATATAAAAGAATACTTAATCCTCTTTATGTTGTGTTTCTTTTTTATATAAAATTTTAATATAGAATTTGTTTTTATAGGGAATTTTTCTTAACTTATTCAACCATCAACACAAAACCTTTTCAGCAGAGAGTGATTCTGTTCATAAACATTCCCCATTCAGAGTAGGCTCTTTTTAAAAAATTAATTGGCATTTATTTTCATATAAATTGACTGGATAAAATGTTTCAACATTAGATAATACTAGTAGGGTAACACTAATACTCACATCAGGGCTAAAATTAAATAGGATAATTCCTATTTTTACCAAATTAAAAGTAACTAACTTCCCTTTTATGTAGTGTGTTTGTGAGTATGTATATTTGTGTGTGTGCATAAAAACTTGTTTAGTTATATCCTGTCAATTTGGAATAGGTTTTTTTGATGTCTAAATCAACCATGATGAAAATATTTTGGAAGTGAAAAAGTGTACTTGTGTTTTGATTGCTGCTGAATGCATTAAGTCCTTGCTATTCAGTATTTTTTCCCTTTACTAAAAATAGGGAAGGTATTTGACATGAGGATTGATGAACTAGTGATATTTGTTTCATTAGTGTTATATAGTTGCCTGGAAAATAATTTGCATGAAAAGATTGAGTTTATTTTTATTATTTATACTTCACTGTTATGTAATCACTAAAATACAATATTTTCTTATATATGACCAAAATCAAAGACAATGCTTTGTTTAAAAAAAAAAGTCTTCTGTAGTATATTTTGGCCAAATTTACATTGAACATTTTTAATTACAGCAGTCTGATTTGCAATAGACCGAATATACCAAAAGCAGGCATTTCTGAAAATGCAGAGGAATGTGTGTAAGTGCATATCGTTTGGAAGAACTGTGTAGTTAATTTAGATGGGCTGCTGACGCACTGGCTGTGGGGAATTGAAATACTTCTTACTTCATTCTGGCAAAGAAGCACTGCAGCTAATAGAAATCCTGTAGCTTCTTCTATTTTGTATGTCTCTCTTTTTTTCCATCTGGCAGGTGATAGTCAAAGGGACCACAACTGCCTCAATTATATTTCTGACATAAATGTTTTCTAGCTGACATCAATGGTTGCTTCTATTTTCCCTCCCAAGTACGGCAGTCAATACCATTTTAAATAGGAGCTCATTGGCAAATAATCATAGGTTTGATCGGAGCCGAAAAAGATCTTACTTGAAAGATCTTACTTGACATTCCTTATGCCTTGGCAGTTTCTCTCTTAATTTTTTTTTTAATTTCTTTTTTTCTTCAGCTCAGGTACCTGACAATGATGAGCAGTTTGTGCCAGACTATCAGGCTGAAAGTTGTAAGTATAGTATGACTCATCTCTTGAATTTTTCTGTCTTTCTTGTTTCCTTCTCTCATTCTTTCTCTCTGGTTGGTTTCTACTTCCCGTGTCTGTTCTTGCATTATGTCGGTACCTTTCTAGCTTACAGTCATGAGGTGATTATATTTGTCAAGTTGTGACATCAGCTGGGTCCCTGTATGATCTGAGCAGAGCTCCAAAGTGTAGCTAAGGAAAACTGTTTTGATTAAAAGATGGTCCTAATCTATGTATTTGGTTAATATCTTTGGAGAAGAAATAGGGTACGATCCATGAACGTGCAAGTGTTTATTTACTTCCAGTTTTTTTGTTACGTTCCTAAATGCTGGTGGGAGAAAGTCAGTCGTTAATTAACATCCATGTGAGATTATATACTGAATAACTTATACAAATTTGTTGGCTTATATTATATTACACTCATGAACGTTCACCTGCTTTCATTTAATTTTTACCTTCGTTTTCTGCTTCCTGGTTACAGTAACACAAATGGAAGTAGCCCTTGGCTTTTCTTAGGGTCCCTTCCGGTTTTTTCTTTCCCTGAGCCTTGCTCTAGGGCCTGTCAGAGAATATGTAAGTTGTGATTCATGGGATGCTCTCCTCCCAGGAATCCCCGAGTGAGCATTATGCTTGTACAAACATGGCTGCCTCGGGGGTTCCTTCTCATATTTACGCTTTGCCATCCTACCAGCTAACGGCGCCTGTTGACCTGAGGTGTAACTAGTAAAGAAAGGAGTATAAATGGCGTCTTGATTATGAGACTGATCTAATAGGTTTTCATTCGTTAGTACCACCTAAAGCTCTAACTTGTTTCACTTTTTTCCAGATCATTGGCAATTTCATATGGGGCAGTATCAATAGCAGCCAGAGATGTTTTTGACCTTACAATTTATCAAACCCATATTCTCACACCAATATCACACATCTCATATAGATACCTCTGTGACTTTGAGAAATAGATGTCTGTAAGCCAAGTTTTCTCCTTTTGTGTTTGGTATTTTAAATTGCCAGGTGTCAAGAGTTGTGAGACGTTATATCTAGAATTTGTCCTGTGTTTTAGTTCAGCTGCATTAAAATTTTTTTTTGGTTTAATTGTGGTAAAATATGCATAACAGAAAATTTACCATTTTAGCTATATTTTAAGTGTGCAGTTCAGTGGCACTCCTGTTGTTATGCAAACATGGACACTGGCCACCCCCAGAACTTCCTCATCATCTCACACTGAAACCCTATGCTCACTTATTGAAAACTAACTTCCCCACTGCCCCCAGCCCCTGGTAACTGCTCTTCTATCAGCTTGATTTTTGATCTGAGAATTTTGTGTGCTATTTAATGTCTGAATATAGTTATTAGAAGACGATTTCAAGAAACCTATTCACCAATGCTATAGAACTAATTAGAGACTCTTAGGAATTCCCAGAACAATGACAGATAAGGATGCTGGCTAGGCAAGGTCTTCCTTTCTTTGCAATGTGGGAAGGGAACGGTCACATTTCTAGCATTTCTCTTTCTGGACATTTGGGTTCTTTCTAAAAGCTAAACCCGTCATCTGAGTGGGAGAATTATTCTCATTGAGTCATTTTACATCTGAAGAAATTGGTAATGATTCCAATACTATACCAAATGCCACAGTAACATCACTACCAAAAAAAAATGTTCCTTTTCTTATTTGATGTCCTTTCAGTTTTTCAAATTCTTGACTCTTTCGTTTCCTTGAACTCTGTCTTCTCTTGGTTCACGGTGGGGTGACTTTTTCCTTTCCCTTTTTACTACTTTGGCAACTCCTTTTCACTCCACTCATCTTCCTGCTTGCCCTTCTGTTTCCCTAGGGTTCTTTCCACATGGCTTTGCTCTTATTTTAACTTGTGCCATCCCTGCAAGTTCCCGTAGAACTATCCATGATGATGGAAATAATCTGTATCTGAAACATTTGGTATTATAGCCACTAAACACATTGCTCACTGAGTGCATGAAACGTGGTTAATGGGACTGAAGACATGAATTTTTTGTTGTATTGTATCTTTATGACTCTAGATATAAGTTGACATGTTGTGGCTATTGGCTGCTGTAGTAGTCAGCCCAGTTTTGTGTAGTGGTGTCTCCTACATCATTATCTCTAGCCTGGGTGCCCCCTCTGCCCCCGTCTACTGGACATCTTCACCTGACCCACCACCTGATCCTTGATCCTTGTGCCAGGTCAGAAAAATGCAACATCTCCGGACTCAACCCTCAGCCCTTAGTGTGGCTTTGGCATAAAACGCAGTGACACTTGAGGTTCCAAAGATAATTCCCGCTCAGCCACACCAGTGTGGAAATTGTAATGACAGTTTTTCCTGGTCAGCATCTTTCTTCTGCTTCTGTTGCCTTTCCCAATTAATGACATCACCATCCGAGCTGAAAATCTTTACCTTCAATCCCTCCCTGTTCCTTCCTGTACACCTCCAATTGCTTACCTTATCAAGTTGTTGATTCTGCCTGTCACAAATCTCTTCTTTTTGTGGTCTCTACTCATCTCCATTTCACCCTCTGAGTTCACACCCACATTCTGCCTTGACTGATCTAGTGCATAAGCCTTTCACTTGGTGTTCTTGCCTTCAGTTTTCCCTCCTCCCAGGGCATTCTGTGCATGGCATAAACACATAGCTGTCTGACCTTGTTAATTTTCTTCTTAAACTTCCTTCAGAGCAAAGTCCTCCAGAACATTATTCTACCATCTGGACCTTGACTTGCTGTTTCAGTTTTAACTCTTGCCATCCCAGCACCTGGTTCCTCCCTATCTTCTGAGCTTGAGCCCTTCGAATTTTTTAGTTCTCTAAACCGCTGAAGCTGTTTTAGGTCTCTCTGTCTTTGTACATGTTGCTCATTTTGCTTTATGAACCTGTACTTTTGCTTTGTGGTGCTGGTAGGCCTCCTGCTCCGGACTCAGCTTAGACTTCATTGCGTTGACGTCTTTCCTGACTTGGTCTTGCCATCCATACCCTGCAGAGTGAGACTCTACAGTACCTTGTAACATTTGAGATAAGTGTCTTTCTTCAACAAGAAACTTTTGGAGGAGTAGGAGCATATCTGCCTCGCAAATATAGAAGCACAGAAGGTAAAATGGTTACCTTAAATATGATCAGCTACTTAGGACTTTTTTCCTTCTAAGTGTTTTCAAAGTCTTAATTCCCTTCTTAAGGTAGAAATACATGATCATGCCTTAAAACAATAGATGTAGTCTCATTTTGGAAAAACATGCTAAAACCATGATTGTTTAACCAAACGTGATCAGAATGGTGAAGTTCTATTTTTCTTTAGTAGTGAATAGTTACAATTTAACAAATAGGGCTCTGGAACTTGTGAATAAAACACCTAATTATGAAAGAAACCTCTAAACAAAGGTGAAAATAAATCTGAAATCGTCTAAATAAAAAGATGGAGATGTGCTTTATGTCACGTTTTTATTGACATAAAGGACTATTGTTCAGAAGATGGTGAACAGCTAATTTCAGTGTTCACTAAGAGCAGAACAAAGGGAAATAATTTAAAAAGAGAAATAGGGTATATGAATTCTAAGGATTTCTGGAGGGAGGAGGTTATCAAATATTGGAGCTGAAAGGTTAGATTGTCTGCTAAATACCCAGTACAAATGTTTGATTCTTCTCTGGAAATGCTTCCTGGAGCAGAGGCATCCTATCTCTAGTAGAAAGAAACCCCACCCACTCTGCATGGCTCATCTACAAATTCTCTGGGGCTCTTTTTTCCAAATGTAAATAACCAGATTTCCTTACATACCTCAATCACATAAAATGCTGCTCTTTTTACTGCTTTAGGCTTTTGGTAAGTGTAGGTTAGGAGAATGAACAGCCAAAGTCTGCTCACCACCGGATTACAGAACATACATTTGTCAATAAGGTGTCAATCTATGTAGAAAAGTAGAGAACAGAGCATTAAAAAATGGTGAAAAAATGAGATTAAACCATACACTTGGGGTTTCTCTAAAAAATATCCCCAAATGTTCTTTATTTTTATTTCTAAAATATGTCAGTTGGAAATCTAGAATATAAAGATCTATAGCTTGCTGTTAATCTTTTAAAGGGTGCTGACTTTTAAAGCACCTAAATAGACATTAAAAGCACATGAAAAAGTAAAAACAAAAAAAAAGAGTCAAACCAAACAACTCCCTACAAGTCCATCCTAGGAAGTGAATAGAGACTAAAAGAAAAGATTACTTGCTTCTAACAAATTGTTTATGACTTAGAAACAAATCTTTTCAGAACTTAGACACTATTGAAAAAAGCAGAGGAAGTAGAATTCTGTCTTTTCAGAAAAGAGAATTTAAAGAATATTTAGAAGGTAAAGTAGCCTTATCTTTCCAAATTAGATGCGAATCTGTATGTAAACTGAATTTTTATAGATTATGTGTTTTAAATTTAATACATTAATCATCTTATATTTTAAACCACATACTTTGCATTTTAGGTTCAGCGTGCTTGAAATCTACTGCCACTCATTTTTTTCATTACAGTAATATCTTACAATTTTTCTAACTAGTTTGCTTCCATTTGGTTATATTGGTTTCTTTCAGTGTTTTCTCTAAGTGATTCACATGATAAATGGTGTTTCCAATTACATTTTACCTCTTCCCAGAACATTCCCAGGGGTATAACCAGAGTTATGCAAAAATTCCCAGCGGGATAGATCTTTGTAAGGTACTGCTTTCTCTTATACTTAAGAAAGAATAGTGGAATGCAATTCGGTTAGAATAGCGTCATTAAAGGAATAGTAATAACCTTGACTCTGCTATGTTTGTGTATCACAAAGCAAATATTAAAACTTTGCAAGTATACTTCAATTGAAATTTGTAACACAGCACTGGTGACTCAACTGACAAGAATCAGGACAAACCGGTGTATGGGGTCTCAGCTGTTTAAAGCTTCTCTTACATGAGTGATACCTTGTTCAAATAAATAAAAGTCATAGCTACACTTAATTTTCTTACAAAT